GTCCTGAGACTAACGAGAAGCGGGCAGGAACCCTGTCCACATATCACGCGAGGAGTTAAATAAAATAATAAAAAAGTAAAAAAGAAATACTAAAGAAAAGAAAAGCAAAAATATATACAAATAATAAACACAACAAAAATATATGAAAATTAAATATTAAAAGAAAAACCATAATACGAAAATGTGGACATCGGCCGCTCCTGCCTGCTTGGATAGAAGAAGGGGGGGCAAGACAAAGACAAAAATAAATTACGCGACATTCGCACTCACGGAGATACGCAACGCGTCGCAACTTCTTCGTCTCAGCGACGGCCCAGCGTCGGCGGACGGCCCGAGGCGGCGTCGCGAGCATCCCATCACCAGCGGGGCGAGAGGGAGCTTGGTACTGGCGGACGCCAGACACGTGCTCCACGTAGATGTCCCTGGACCAGCGGATGGTATTCGAGACGATCAACCGCCGCATTATCGAGACATACGGATCGCCAATCCGCAGTACCCTCAGGACAGCCTCGTTTCTCGGATCCCACGACCCGAGAGCACCGACGACGAAGGCCGTCACGAGGACACAGTACCCCCCCCCCCCGCTGGAGCTCCTCAGCCAGGGGAGAGTACTTGGCAATTTTCCTCCCCCTGACTTCCTCGAAAGACATCCAGCGGTTTTCGAAGGGCACCGTGACATCGCATATGACGACACTTTTGGAGAGCTCGTGCCTGATCACGAGATCAGGTCGTAGCTCCCCAAGTTCCCCGTCGATGCCCTCAATCCGCTGGTTGACCCGTTTGTCACCAGGCAGACGGCAAGCCTTCCAGAGGCGGTGCAATACGGCATTGTGCCTCAGCTGTATTGCGGCAGCATGGACGCCACAGTGACCGAGCAGTGATAAGGTCTCCGATACCTCCCCGCATCGCATACAGCGCTTGTCGCCGTCCCCCCAACGCCGCGCACCGTTGAGGAGAAGGACATCGAGACGAGCTCGATGTATAAAGCGCCAATCGGCGAAGCGGGTGAAGCTGCCGCCGCGAACGAAGTGATTGCTCACTGGCATTCGCGACAACACCTCGAAGACCTTACCTTGGTCGGGCTTGTTGAGCAATCGCTCCGCGTAGTGCTCGGCTACAGCTGAGCGCAACCGATTCACCACCTGGTTACGCGCTCCAGGTGGGATCTTAACCGCGGCACTTCTGGGTCCTCGGCACTCGACGATCATCTCCTCGGTCTCCGGCACCCATCGCCATCGCAGAGACAACCGCTCGGACAGCCTTCGCGCGGCATTCCGCGCCCTCGACCAGAGGGATTTTTCCCCTCCGCCCCTCAGCCTTCCTTCCTGGAAGCCAGAAAGGAAGGCGGCGATATTCTCGCAACTAAAGGCGTGGCCGATCCTGCGCTGAACCACCTCCGTCAGTGATTCCCAGGCGAGACACCTGACGGTGGCATCGCCAGCCGTAAGCATACGGAAGGCGTGTACCACCGACAGGACGTCCGCCAGATCAGCTAACAGAAGGAGTCCACATCCCCCCCATCGCGGGGGCATGTAGACCCCCTCCGCGCTGGCACGCTGGGGGAGATTCAGCCAGGATTTCGCGAGTCTCCGGATCGCGAGATCCGCGGCCGTGAGGGGACGCTTCTCCACACTGGCTCCCCGCAGCAGAAAATCTAACCGCGGTATAAAAGTCCCGACTGTATCACACTTCTGCCACGGGGCGAGGAGGGCGCGATCCACCGCGCGAACGTCCGAGAGGAGGTCCCCGATGGTGGCGTAGGGTGTCTGGTCGATCGAGAATCCCGTCGGAACACCGAGGTGGGTGTAAGGCTCACCCTCTGCCAGATGACGCACTGGTTGGCCCTGGATGCCGAACGACGTCGGCAGAACCCTGCCACAACCACCCGTGCCGATGTGCAGGGTGGCGCATTTGGCAGGGTTGAACCGCAAACCCACCGACGCCGCTTCAGTCTCCACTGCGTTAAGCAGTCTCCTCATACTCTCCGGAGTCTCTGTCAGGAGTGCAATGTCGTCCGCATAAGCCAGAACACTAAATTTATTACCAAACATATGGCACCGCGTCGACGGTGGCTGCACGCAGCACCGAGTCGATCGCGAGGTCGAAAATAATCGGGCTTAGCGGACAACCCTGGCGTACTCCGGAGCGTATGGGGGTGGGCGCGGTGAATCCCTCGGCGGTGCGCACACGCGTAGTACAGCCGTCGTACATCGAGCCCCATATATTAATGAGGCCCTTAGGCACCGCTGCTCCAGCCAGAGCACGGCGGATCGTCGCGTGCGGGATCGATCCAAACGCGTTGGATAGGTCCAGCCACGCGACGACCGCCTGCCTCCGGCTCCTCCTCGCGTCAGTCAGGGCCTCCTGAAGGACGAAATTGTACTCGAAGCATCCCTCGTCCCTCAGAAAGCCCTTCTGGGCGGGACTAAGCCGGCAGTTGGCGACCGCCCAGTCGGTCAGACGATCGGCGAGAATCGCAGCGAAGAGTTTGGGGACGGTGTCCCCCAAAGCGAGAGGGCGCCAGTTCTCCAGCATGCCCCGGTCTCCTTTCTTGTACACAAGTATTGTACTGGAGATCTTCCAGGACGCGGGGACTGCCTCGAGCCGCAAGCAGCAATTGCACATTGCTGTAAGGAGCCGCGTTCCCGGATCCGCCCCACGGAGGTCACGGTAAGTGACGCCGTCGGGACCCGGCGCAGAGTTATTCATACGCCGGAGCCGACGGTCCACCTCTCGCTCCGTGAAGGGATTCAGGAGATACGCGAACTCCTCCTACGAACCCGAGATTGCGTACCCGCTGATTGTAGGGGACATTGAAGCCATACTACCCAGATCGTTTCTGGCCACTCTGATGGGTCCGATCCGGACACTCGGGGGAGCAATCTCCCACAACCGAGACCTGTTGACGAATCTTCGAGAAAGTTACCGAATCATCAAAGCCGGACAGTCTGATATCCGTCTGCCTCATGGGTCTACCTATCTTGACACGAGGGTCCTCTATAATTTCCCTCATCTTTTCGACAATGTGGTCAGCTGTTTTGGATGGATCTTCACCCCTGATTTCTAAGAGTACACCACCAGAGAGGGCTCGTTTTACCCGCGTATCCGTGACATTGTGTTCCTTCAGGGAAAAACAGATTAGCACATTTTTATTTTAAATAATGTTCCCCGGAGGGCATCTCACCCTCCGGGGTGGATACATAGAAAAGCGGCTAGGCCGCGCGCAGACTTAAAATAATACATGGGCGGGGGACAATAGCCCCCCCCCCGCCTTGTGGGCACTAAAACTATTGTAGCTGGCAAGGTCGCTTCCCGCCAGCGTGCGCAAATTAGGATTAGACTATCCCCCCCGCTCGCATGCGGGGGGGATGACGCAAAAAATAATCGGCGGCCCTCGGGGTGTATCACAGATCAATAAGTTAAACGATAAAAGACCCCGAGGGCGCGCGCGCGGCAATACATAATAAGTAAAATAAATAAAGTCAACGCGACACATTCACTCTCGCTTAAAATACAATAGGGTTCCCGCGACACTCACACTCGGACATACATGGCCCCACAGAAAATAAAATAAAATACATATATATAAGTAATAATAAAAATAAAAATTGAAATAAATAAATACATAAGTGAATAAATAAGAATAAATAATAATATAAATAAAAAGAAAGTAAAAACCTACAGTCCGATCAATAAAACAGATGGGATGGATAGTTATATGGATAAAAAGGTGCACTGAGACTAATGAGAAGCGGGCAGGAACCCTGTCCACATATCTCGCGGAAAAATAACAAAATAATAGAGAAAGTAAGAAAGAAAATATAATAGAGAATTAAAATACTAAAAGAAAATATGTACAAATAAATAAAACAACTGAATTAGAAAAAAAATTACGATACTGAAATGTGGACATCGGCCGCTCCTGCCCGCTTGGATAAAAGGGGGGGCCAAGACGAAGACAAGAATAAGTTACGCGACATTCACACTTACGGATATACGCATCGCGTCGCAACTTCTTCGGTGGCGGCCCAGCGCCGGCGGACGGCCCGAGGCGGCGTCGCGAGCATCCCATCACCAGCGGGGCGAGAGGGAGCTTGGTACTGGCGGACGCCGGACACGTGCTCCACATAGATGTCCCTCGACCAGCGGATGGTATCCGAGACGATCAACCGCCGCATCATCGAGGCATACGGACCGCCAATCCGCAGCACCCTCAGGACAGCCTCGTTTCTCGGATCCCACGACCCGAGAGCACCGACGACGAAGGCCGTCACGAGAACACGGTACCCCCGCCGCTGGAGCTCCTCAGCCAGGGGAGAGTACTTGGCGATTTTCCTCCCCCTGGCTTCCTCGAAAGACATCCAGCGGTTTTCGAATGGCACCGTGACGTCGCATATGACGACACTCTTGGAGAGCTCGTGCCTGACCACGAGATCAGGTCG